ATTTCATGTTGAAGTACTAGGGCTATCGATGTATCACTTAGTACCCACCCAGTGCGAGGGTCAGGTGTCGGGACACCTGGTGGCGTATGTAGATTAGTACTTCAATATACTGAAATATCAAGCTTTAGAAAACTTTTGTACATTTTCGTCAGAAACTCTTTATTTAAGGAGGTCATGTGGGACAAGAAGAAGTATATTCTCAAGACAAAACAACCTGAAAAAAACAGCAACAATAAAATTAAAGATATGTAACTCAGTATGGTATATTATCTTTATTAGCAGAGTCGAACTGTCGAGTACAATTAAACAAAACCTTTATTAACTTTGGAAGTAAGTTTTAAATTTTGAAAGCGTATCGTCTATTTCGAAAGTATTGTAAATGTGGAACATTTTTGTAACGTTATCAATAGATAGTAACATTGTACTTGTTTACTTAAGTGACATAATTTCTGCTTAATGTGGAAAATAAAATTTGTTTGTACTTTCAAAAACCTATGAAGAGACAAAATTTATTAAAAATGTATACAAATAAAGTTACTCTAGACATTAATCTAAAAAAAAACATACATTGCCATCGAATATAACCTCCTCCTTTTTGATTTTGAAGTCGGTTAAAATTGTTAAAAACCTATATTGTTTAAAAAGTAAGTAACATAAAAAGTGTGGATACGTATTTCGAAACTATAATAACACCAGTATTATTCATTGGCTCGGGAAAATCATGATATCGTGATGTTGCATCTTGCAATTTAAGTAGAAAGTTAACATAATAATTGTATTTCGATGGATTTTCAATATCTAGCACAATGTTAGGAAGGTATAGGACAGCGGTGATATATTTGATTATTTATGATCAAATAAAATTAACTGTCTTTGACACATTTTATTTAAATACCTTTGACACGACATTATTAGTGATGCAAAGAATACTAGTTTTATGTTCCAAATACGAAAAAGTACGAATTATTAAATCTCTATTCGGCGAATATAAGTATGAATAGGTACATTTTTCTTTTAGGCTTAAGTCGATCAGTAAAATTTACCACTGACAATATTTTGTTCTATAATTAACTACATTCTTATAAAACTTCTAAAGATAGCCATCCATTAGTTTGTTTATACTTGACGCATGACTTTTTGCCATTCATCAGAGAAATTATTTTCTAATCAACAACTATATGATATAGTTTGAAGATATAGATACAAATATCTACGTAGTTCACAGCTAAACTCATGTTCTTTGTTGTACACGGAGTTTTGTAATAAGTTTATAATATTCGTGATGATATTTTCGTGGTGTTGTAACACTGTTTAGGTTAACGGTAGAAGAGTTGATATATAAATAATATAATGCTTATATTCAAAAAGCATTAACAGTTATTTGTATTTCAAGATATATCATACAAATTGTGTGTTAATTACTTAAGTTCATCGAATACAAAAATAATATAAAAAGATATTCGCAATAAGACTACCGCAATTCGGATTTGATTCAAACACGATAACTGAAATAAACACGTCAAACTTTAACAAAGAGCAATTAAGACATATAATAATTATACCAATTAACAATGAAAACCGAATGATGCATCTTCGATCGAAATGGGAGAGCAACTGCACCCGTGACTGTTAAACAAATGATTTTTATATCTGATATCGATCTAGAGCAATTATTCCAGTGCTAAGATTCATATAAAAACATCTATAAACATCGGAATAATTCGCACGCGCTTTTCTCAAGAAGCAAGGTAGCGTTCACGACCGTGACGCTTATCTGTTGATCTATAAAATCGCGATGATTTTTCTTTAGCCGATTAGTGTTAAGAAGATTAAATGAAAACCTTATCGTCAACACAAAACGCGAATCTCTTTTATACTGATTTCTTGTAACGTTTTAATATTAGCTCAAATTCGTCAGCATTTGCTGGGAATTTGAGCTAATATTAAAACGTGGGATATTAGACTAGTCAAAGAGAATGGCGAATCTTAACAGATTATTAGAAAAAAAATTGGTACTCACAAATTTTTAAATAACACACTAATCGGTCAGAACATTCTGTAATTTTATACTCGGGTCGCCTTATCGTAAATTTAATACTTTAATGATGTCCCCAAAGATCCGACTTTAATAAAAACCTCGTAGTACCTGAGTAACAGCCATCGGTCTACGTCACCCAACGGTTAGCTAAGCGAGCTTCGTGTCGTCGATATTTTTTTGGCGTATCTACTGATGTCTTTAACGAAATACATGTCATTGGGTCCGATTTCTCTAAGATTAACTTTTTTACATTATTTAACAAATAGATCGGACCCTTATACGCTCGAATATTCAGTTACATGGTTTAACACTTAAAAGGGCTTAACGACTAACACATCCTGCGGGTTACGATAAAAAATACGACAAAAAGAGAATACTTCTCGTGTTTGTTTTTTAAAAGATGTCTGCTGGAGATAAGGTGCAGCGGCACTTTAATCCTCCGACCGTATGATATTTGAAAAGGATATGATGACAACTTTTTTGTGCTTTTTATCTAATAAGCACATAAACCAATACTTAAGACTTGCATGTACCTACTCATTACCAAAGTTTGTTCGTGGCGATAAAGTGAGTGTGGTACGCTATTTTTTTATTTTTCATCGAACGTTTAAATTCGAATTCTTCTAGTAAATGTGACCGAGAGACTTCGCAATATGCGTTAAACTATCTCTGTTATTTTTAGGGTTTAATCTCGCTGATCTTTTGTTAGATGTTTATCAGAAGTAGGTGCAGTTTAAAACGGAGCAAGTAAAAATAATATAGAACTTCTTTTGTAGAGCGCATTTTGAAATGTGTTATCTTTGTCGAATTATCGGTACAAAATTCCGATAGTAACCTTTAGGTTTATTCTTTTTGAGTATGTGCTTATTTCACGAACAAATCGTTGTTGCACAAGAAAAACTGTATATCGAAAAATGCAACTTTTCATAAATGACTAAAAATATTTAAACAGGACCAAATATTTAATAATACACCTAGAACACTGAAATTACTTTGTAAATTATTCTTAATAGAAATTTTAATACAACGTTTTACGATTTTTTTTATATTCGGTTACCTAATTTTCTTCTACTTAATTAAAATTATGTAACTAAAAATGGTATAACTTAAAATAATAGAAATGCTAAAAAGGTTACAAAGGTGTTATATTTAAGTTTAAGTTTTTAATAAAAGTCATCAATCTCACATAACATTAAGTTAAACTACTCTAAGCAATTCATAGTAATAACATACAAATAATCTTTGACGTAATTTCGTCATAAAATTCACATTACTAAAATACTAACTATTTGCCACCAGGTGAGAATTTTCATGAGCGGATAAGTATTTTCAAAGATTACCCCTTACAAACAAACAAAGTTAGGAACTCAACCTCTTTATATAGATGATAAAAACAAATTGAAAAATCACTGAATGAATTGCAAATCAAACATTCTGATTTACATATTTAACATTGGTCGTGCGATATTTAATAACGTGTGTAGATACGTAAATGCGCTCGTCCACAATGGCCGCCGACATGAAAGGGAGTAACGTTGTTCTACAGAAATAATGTCGTTTCATCATTCGTATCGTTCTAACGGATTGAATCCCTTTTAAGCACCGGCGTCGATTTCAGCCGCATCCCCCTCACGTTGATCGATATAATCCCTATTCCTATAGTCATTAGGTCGAATGGTAGACCATTTCGTTATAAACGAATACAACTAGAAGTGGCATATACTACACGGATTAAATAACTATGCAGGGTATGTAATGTAGGTAATACAGGGATTCGACGTTTAACGGCTTCGGGATTACCTTAATAATTCCCTCAACACAACAAATGTTTTTAGCCTGACGCGATTCGTGTTTGTGTGAGGTACCGAATAGTATGTGATTGGTGTATACAAGGTGATGAGTGTAGCGGTGTGTTCAAAGAAGCCGTATGATAGCAAACGGGTCATAGCTTCAGCTTAGGGCACAACCGACCTGACTTCACGGGGCTTACGAAGCGGCAACACCACTTCTTTACATAATTAAAGCTTAAGTCACACATACAAAGGTCATACAAATTACCTACCCTTACCTAAGAGTGCTTTGAATTCAATTCGTGCCCTTAAAGTGACAGTGCACCTCTTTATCCGATTCTAAACCGACAACTAGTCTTTTCTATAGCAATTTATAATGAATCGCATTAGAATAGAATGATCAGATAAATACCTTTTTTCCGGAAACGTCCTATAATAACACGCGAACAGTACAATAGGGGTATTAATTATTATTTTCTTTCACTAACTTGTATCATAAGTATTTCGGGTGGCATTTCTCGGTTTCTAATCCCATACAGAACACAATGAACTTTGGGCGGCTGGGGACCATTTTTCATTCCTATGACAAATATTTAGAAAGTTATTTATCCGCGTACGACTGCAGTGCTCAATTAAAAAAGGTCGTACGATCTCGCTCGTATCTTTCGCTTTATGTTCGGACAACTAGCGGATATTTATTCTGCGACCGCTGATCGATTCAGGTAGTCCGCTGAATAAATCTATTATATCAACAATGTGTTTCTCCCCAGCCCTTTGTGACATAATTCGAAGTTTCTCAGCCGTATGATATTAGTGCACTGATTTTTTTTTTGTGTATCAAAATATTAAAAGAAGTGTAAAGCGTATCGAATGAGCGTACATTGATGACGTAGACACGCCCAAGGTGTCCTCATTAGAAGCGCAACCCTTTTAGACATTCATCATATTCTCGTTTAATATCCATCAGAATTAGTGATGCTAATGCATTTTTTTTCATCGATTCAAACCGTTGACATGATAGTCTGATCGATAACGACCTCGTAAATGTAAGAATTGTAAAGCTTACGCTATGCGATTGTATGCTATGCGCAAGGAGGCCTCCTAACTGTTGTGTTTGCACTGGCGAATGTTAAAACGCGCCATAAAGGCATTTCAAAATTTACAACTTACAGAGCACCATATCGACAGCCTCCAACAGTCCGCCGCCGGCGCAAGCGGGGATGAGCGGCGGCGGTGGAGCGAGCGGTGCGGCACGTCCCAGCTCGCCAACCGCTGCGCCGCGATGCTGCGACACAGGCCGGCCTATATTTCAAGACCCGATCACTGGCCAGACAGTGTGCTCTTGCCAGTACGAATTCCTCAATTACCAGAGGCTAGCGTCCGGTGTGCCGTTGTCTATGTACAGCGCTCCCTACTCGGACGCGGCGGCGGCTACAGCCGCTGGCATGGCAGCTTACTTCCCAGCCCTCGCAGCTGATCAACCGCCATTCTACCCGAACGCTGTTAGTATGAAAGACGAAATGACTATGATAAACTAATTTGCTGATAATACCACTAAGCATTCGTATATCTTGTGCATTAACAATAGAGAACTAGTAACTATTAAATTAGTTTAATTTTTCGAAAAAAATACATTCGAAAAATATGAGATTTTTTTTGTTTACGCGGGCCGTTGTAGTTTCGTTTCGTCACTGGAAACTCTTAGTTATGAATAGCTAACCACTTAAGTACTCGAATCAATTGTCAATATAACATCAAAAGGCGGTTTCTATATGTACCTACTAATGTAAAGCAGCGATTTTCAATAATTATAAAATTTTACCTCCAAATAATTCGTAATAGTATTCTTTAAGTCTTTTCATTTATGCACTTACCCGAAATTTAAAAAAAATCGTCCTCCATCGGTACAGCTAATTCTTTTGCACGTTTGAAGCCAAAGAGTATTTCATAACATAGTACAGTATCAATTATAAGATGTATCTGTGTCTTATGTCCTACTTAATTTGTTTCATTCATTTAATTTGTTATCATAAATTATTTCAAACCTTGACCTGTTTCTTTGTAGACAGAACGTCCGTAGTTCTTTTTTTTAATGACTTATGTACGGTCATGATTATTAGTGTATTTTAATAGTCATGATAGTTTATAATGGTACATGTGTCTCGTCTGATGGGTCATTTAGAATAGTTTGTTGATGTTTGGTCGAACGGTAAGTATATTAGTATGTATAATCAATACAATCTCAGGCAAAACCAGTTAAAGTATATCTCCAATGTAACAGAAAAGACAATACGATGTCAACCTATAAAATATTAATAGATAATATAAATCAATAAGAAGATAACATAAGTCTTTCGGGTGGTTTCACTGCAAGTTATTGATGATAATTGTCTTCTCTTTATTCTTCTTTTTCTTTTCCTTCTCTTTATTATAATGCAGGTGAATTTTTAGATTTACATGTCTAAATTGAATAATTCTACCTTCTCTATTCAGGTAATTAAATTTATGATAAATATAGGTATTTGTTTATTTTTTTTCCCGAATCATTGGGAGTCTGTTCCTAGAATATAATTTCGCTATTATATATTCACAAGACATTTTCACTGGGTTACTTCAGAGTTACTTATCAGTGGCAAATTTTCAGGGCAATTTTATATTAGGATTCGTGTATGTTAATATTTAATTTTAGAGTTAATTTATTATAGTTACTTTTACACAATCGGAAACGTTATTTCACTAACAAATTATGGCAGATAATTTAAAAAATATATAGTGAATTCAATTATAAAATCGAATGAGAGTTGTCACCCTTTCCACAATGCATCAAATACTCTAAAATTAGAAGTATCCTGATAAAGTAATAGTGGAAATCATAAAATATAAATATATTGCTTATGCAATAATGAGATTCATAAGAGACTACCGAAATTCGATCACATAAAACAAAATGCTAAAATTAATTAAGTCCACAAAAGCTCAAGGCATCATCGCTCGAAACGAGATATTAAATAAATTGAATGTATCACAAACGTCTACAGCGAAGCAGATTATATTATTTTTTATCGTCCACTTTTTTAGACGGGAGCAACAAAAGAATTACTTTAAAATAATTAGAGTATGTTGTCAAAATACTACCATAGAGAAATAGGATCTGAGAGTGTTAAGTAGGCACCACAATAAGTTTACGATATAAAGAATGCGTATGAATTAAAATCATAATCCCATGATGTATGCCCTTTTGTCCACAAAAAAAGTTGTTACGAGCTTCGGTAGGATCTTAATACGTTTAACAATTTCGTTCTGTGAGATTAAAACATTCATCTTAAAAAAATGATACATCGACACGAATATTTATGTTTTCATGTATCACAAACGTCTTATACCTCTAACGAGTACCATTATGTCGATGTATCAGAACGCTAAAAAACAAAAGAATTGATAATTTACCATAATTTTAGTATAGGTTAAATACAAATTTATGGAAAAAAAGGTTTTTGTTATCACTACAAAAACTATTCCCTTTCATTCATCAGTCAGGAAAGGTATAAAAAAAGTAAAAATTTGAACGGAGCATCACAGAAAGCCATGTGTGTGGGTAGAGACTTTGAATGATAATGATCATAATAACATAAAAGTAGCCACGGTACGTAATATATGACGTGTAGTAAAACTTTTTGAGGGAGGTGTGAAAAGGTGGGGCCGTGAACGTGTCTCGGCAGATGATTCAATCACTCGTGAAGATATGATCATATATCATCAGCGGCGAAAGTGTTAAGCACAAAACGCAGCCGTTGACTCCATGTCAACGGAGATGCTGTATAGTTTTGTAGCGTATTCATTATGTTTGAATTTATATTTGACTAGACTTCTGTCGGTAATGTGCGTCTTTATTCCGATATTATGTATGCGAGTATACCTAAGTTTCAGACTCTAGTTGCCCTTTGGCAACTACAAAAGTGGTCAAACTCTTTATTTTTGATACCTTCTTTAAATTTATATTAATCTATTAATAGACTAAAAAAATAGTCCAATCTTAGCATTGAACACATAATTTTACGTTCCCCAGTTTAAAAAAAATAGGTAGTTTTAAACGTGATGACCAACAATCGTACAAATTATTTATACTGTCAATTGATTTCTTAAATGATAGAGACAACTAATAAATTTATAAAAATTTTAGAAATAGAATACATACTTAATCGGAACATGAATAATATTTTTATCCTATTTTCAATCTCGTGTAGTTTCTCAAAAGTATTTTTGTAAAATCAATTATAAAAACACAATTTGTGATTAAGTTATTTTTGAGACGTCCATACCCATTTAAGGTTATTGTGTCTGCTGTCATTCTGTGATAGAGTTAACAATTTTACCTGCGTTTGCGTGTCCGAGGAGCTATCTAAGGGATTAAAGTATTATAATAAAAAAAGCTAATAAGCAACGTGTATCATATAAAAGAATCAAATAATACATAGCTATCGTAACCGTTGCATTTTAATAGGTTGAGTCTGATCGATAATTACAAATACTTGAGTTACAAATATTTGCTCAGTATTTTTTTTTGTATATGAATCCTAGCTACATCAAATCTCTCCCGAAAACCCTTGTATACTAAGTTTCATGAAAATAGTTGCATCTATATTCGAGATTCAGCTTATATAAACTTTACACAAGAATTGCTCAGTTAAAGATACATATTTCATATAGAAGTTTTAAATTACAAAAACTAAAAACGTCAACAAAAAATGATATACTGAAAAACAATTAAATATGTGTCTATGTGATATTATTTATCAAGCTTCAATGCCACATTGGTGGTTTATTTCAGCCAAAAATAATAATGAAATATCTAAATAAAATCACATTTTTATCAAGTAAAATGATTTTTATATTGTCAAGATAATATCTTTATGACATGATTTTGATACGGTGGCTAATTATGATCATATAATAAATCCAATAGCATATTTACGTTATAGCCCAGTGAAATTATTTGTGGTAACAGAAGCTGTATTATTGAATCATTCGACATTAGAAATTAGAATATTTGATTATCTCGACTGCAAAGAGTTGTATTAAGATGAGTAACAAAATAAATGTCAATATCCAAATGCAACTATTTAGCATAACCTTATTTGGTTTTACGCAGTCGTAAATATTTCTGAAAAAGAGATACGTAGCTGAAATTACTGTACATATAAAAAGATTAAAAAGAGTTCTTTTGTTAATCTCAAATGTAAAACTCTTCTATGTTAATGTAAAAATGTATGTAAAAAATATTTATCAGTTATTTTAATAAAGGAAAATAATACATTCTTTTCATCTAAGTTATATTCAATTTCATTCCAATTATTATACGGTTCTTCCTTTTTTTCAAATAATATTTCGCTCTATATTGGCAGTATCCAGAGGAATAATTAAAAATACTGAAAAAGAGCATAAAATGACTTAGTAGACTTATGTCGTACACGGTAAGATTTTAAACGAGTGATTCAAAAATAGTGCTCCAGTACGCTGGTATTATACCTATCAGAAAGGTCGAAGCAACAAAGAGCGGCGGAGAGACTGGATTACGCTGTCGTACTTGAGTAAAATTTATTATCGGATTTTCGATTCGGCCACCAATGAAGTTGTTGGACAACAAAATCTTTTGATAGATTTATCCTGGTTGACCGCATTAAGAGTCGCCACAGAGTTATTTTTAATGCGTCGGTATAAATTTTTTGAATCCACCGTCCGTTAGTAATTGTAAGTTTCAAATGAGATTTGCTGTTATGCGATTATGTGTTCTCTGCTACTTGATTCAGACAAATCATTTTCTTTTTTGCCATCCAAACCATCTGGTGTGTATGTACATAAATATTAATCATAATGATTTCTGTTGCTGTTACCCTTTACAAATTGTACTAATAAATTAGTTTGTTTATCTTGACAACATAAAGAAAGCAAAGTTCAACTATCCTCATGGGAGACAAGAAAGATACATTTGTCGAACGAAAGATGATTGATGTAGTCGCCTTGTATCTCTGCCCATTAAATAATAATAGTTAAGACGAAACAACGAGCCGATCGATCAAAAAATCAATCCGCCGAGGATCTTTTTTTTTTCTATAATAGATTAAGTTAAAGCTACCGGGAGGGAAGGTATTATAAAGTCTGATTTAACAAGATCATACGGTTTGCCGGTGCCAAATGTTTATTGCGATGCAGGTAATATGTTCGGATGAATGTTTTAATCTAATGAAATAATGTGATATTAAGAGATGATAATGTGTTTCTTTATTATGCGCAGGCTGCTGGTATCGAATTGAAGGAAAACCTGGCGGCGAGCGCAGCGAGTTGGCCTTATCCTACAGTTTATCACCCATACGATGCAGCATTCGCTGGATACCCTTTTAATGGGTAAGTCATAATTTTTACAACAATACAATTTACGGTTGAACTTTGAAGTGAGGCCAAGATACCCATTATCTACGGATAAAGTTCACTCTGTTCTTAGTTCAAAGAAGACGTTAAATATTTTTTCTACACATTTCTCTTTTGAAGTGTAGTTTTTGAGTTATAATTACAGTGTGGCAAAATTTATTATTATTTACTTTCATTCTCTAAAGAGGTAGGAAATTAGGCACTGCACAAACGTATACACTTTTTGTCTTGTGTTAGATATGTTAAATTGTAACGATCGTCAGTTGATAATCTTCTACGCCTAGGTATGACAGTTTATAATCTAACGAGATTGATTATACTTACAGTTTTTCGGTGATATACAATTTGTAAGTTAGGGAGGGAATATGGAATATTTATAAAAGAACATAATCAGTGAGTCCGGGACAGATATAAACAAATTCGGCGTGTGATTTAAAAAACCTTTTGCTGATCAAAAATTAGTTGGTTTAAACATAAGTACTTTATGGTGGAAAAGGTAATGTTTCTTTAAAGGCATCCATCGTGAAATCGAAAGTAAATATGTAACGAAATGTTACTCGTAATTCAGAAGTAGCAACTAACCTCACATAGCGCAATGCAGTTTACTACGATTGTAGGTAGTATTTGTAACAAAGTGTCTAAGTTTGCGCAACGCCTTATTTTAAAAATTGAAATGGGGTAAAAGCTAAAACGGACAATCAACATAATTTTTCATTAATTTGGAAACTGCATTGCATTTGACATAGAGATATTAATATTTGACAATCGTCTTTTAATTAAATACAACTTAATGTACTCTACTGATAGCTGTTACAAATTAAAAAATATAATGTTACACAAAATTTTGAACAGTAAAACATAATTAATGAAACCAATATAATATTTGCTGGCAATCCTTTCTTTTCAAAGTTAGTAAAGTAGTAAGTTATATTATACTCATCGCATATGTCATGGCAAAAAATGTCTTTACCTTTATTTTTTAAAGATTTTTGTTCCATATATATTTTGTAGTTTCTATATCCATCAATTACTTTATCTACTTTAATCATTAAGAAGTAAATAATGATGAAATGAAACTATTATTTACTATCCAACTATCAACATCATGTCTGTTTATATCAGCAAAATTTTCTCACTTGAGAATTACTCTCACTTTAAGTATTAACTTAAAACGACTAGATTTAAAATCAGTAAGAGTTGATAATGGATTGCGAAAATTGCCATATTGAATTAACCTAGCGTGCTACTTACTGTGTATGCGTTATGAGTACGTTCTTAATTTAGTAATATGATATCTGTTAATTCAATAATATTTTGAATTTTATTTGCAAAGAGAAAATACAAATAAACTACCAGTGTAATATCATAAAGACGATTTAAAAACTAAAATTCAAATTGCATTCGAATAAACAGCCCTCAGTGTAGAGCTCTCGGCGTTTGACAAATAGTCCCAGACTGCAGTCGGTAATATTAGTTGAATAGACGTGCAAATCTCTAAAAAGGGAACATATCACTGTGAAAGCTAAGGCTAGACAGCAATTCCCAATGCCTCCACTGTCATTCTAATTTCCCAACAGCGCCATACAGATCTCGACATTGTCACAATGCCTGGAGCAATTTTGGTGATTCGTTGATTCCAATACGAATTTTGTTGGATTAATAGTTGGTCTGATGGAATTACTTCGTCGTACTATTTGTGTATTTGCAAATAGCTTCAGAAATAGTAAATCATTCTTTTACTAATCAAATTATTATCATCAGTCTATTAATGTCCCCAATACTGGGGCATAGGTCTTCCCTGTGAATAGAATCAAATGGAATAGGGCTGTGATTTGTAAATTAGTGGGTATTAAAATTTGCAGATGAAGCCGTGACCAACGCTGCGTCTGCAAATTTTGCAGCTTGACATACATTCCGAAACACGGACCGTAAATTTACTATCACAAGCTCCTGGATAGCTTTTGAATTTATGGTCTCCCACCTTTTTTTCCTCATCATCTTGATCTCGTTGCAAGTTGACTACAAATTTATTATCTTATGGCCTTCCGTGCATCAGAAGTTACGTTATGGTCATGGGGCTTAGTTTCAGCTGTAGTTTTGATAATCCATAATATGCCCACTTGAGACAATAAATTTTCGGTCACGAATATTTTTCTTATCATCATTCATCCTAGTCTAGTTTAAACTTAAGTAGCTTTCGCAATGGCCGTCGATGGATTGGGTGACAAAAAATTTTCATATTTCACCCAGAAGTTATTTTTTTTTTGTTTTGTCATGTTGATATCTACCTATACATAATATAAACTCATTCCTAACATAGATGAATCCTGGGGTGCGACCGCCTAACTCTCTAACCATGATTCTTGCAATAGGATACGACGTCTTATCTATGTAGATATTTCGTTTCATTTTACTGCCTTGATGTGTTATTTAGTAACGAAAATAGAACTACTAAAAGTATACTGGTATTGGTCCGTGATCACTATCTTAGTATTAAAAAAATAAGAATATCGTATATCATATTCACCAAAAAAAAAAGAAACAATTTTCCGAATAACTCAATACATTGAAACTGTTATCTATTTATTCTGTTAGGTAGGAACTTACCTATTTCGGCGCACTGTATGATGGACGATAGCGGTTAAGTGTAAAGGCTTCAAAACATGGGTTTATTAGATAATTACGACTGTAATATCAGATTATCAGCACGGTTATACGTGTTTGTCGGCTTGAATGTCACAAAACAAGATCTCCGACGTATATTAACGCAATCGTTACAATAATAAATTCAATGATAACTTAGTTTATCATAATTAGTAAAACTGTATGCCTGAAAATGGTATTAATTTTTTTATGTACTTATAAGCGATACTTGTAGGCAGGATTGTAATAAAAATAATAATATCATAATGCGATAGCCACTGCGAATGCGATTAAAAATTATTTATCAAATACATCAGTGAGATGATAGTGTGAAACCAGGATATAATAATTATTATTGTAAATCACGTGCTTTTTTCATAAACGCAATCAAATTCAATGACATTTATTATATTTGAGCAATTTTACATTCACAATGCTATCTTTGAAGCACTTAGCGAATCGCAAGATACATTTTCAACAGCGAGAAAGTAACAATTGCTTGAAAGATTCGTCAGTCCTCAGTGGCGTAACTACAGGGTGGCAAGTCGGCAAAATGCCACGGGCCCGCAGCTGGAAGGGCCCCCAGTCAGAGAAGATCCCTTACTTCTGACATTTATAATTACACATTTTGTTAAAAAAAATTGAATATCCGATGAATTTGCCACGGGTCTCAGACGGTATAGTTACGCCACTGTCAGTCTTGTTCGAGTCCCATCTCAGAGTGCCAGATCAAAGTGGATTTTTAAGTATTTTTCACTAAAAATATGTTTCAATATAATTTATTCAGTCTAGGCTGTACTCGTAGAATACACATGAATATCAAAAACTATGACATCTTTGTTGACATCATCTCGAACCTAAGGAGGTTTTACACCGAGAATGTCCAGGAGGTTTTATATCCAGGGAGAAACTGTATCCCACCAAGGGATACCTTTTCTCCCTGTTTTATTCTATCTGACCTGATATCCTGCCACTACATCGTGTACATCGTGCGCATAACTTATAATTATAGCCTATGCTGTACGCATGTGATGTAGCTTCCTGTAGGTGAAAAAATATTCATGATCTTATCAATATTTCCGAATATTTCCCTCTACAAACAAATTCCTTTATAAAATTAGTAGAGACAGAGAAGTCGCAATGAAAAATGCATATGAAGTCCATTTCATTTTAATATTAAAAAATACAAAAAAAATAGTTAAAATAAACAATTCGTGATGACAATTTTGAAATATACTGAATATTAAAAAATAATCACACAATGATATTCTTATCTGCTTAATTAAAATACTTCGTAAGTAGTTTTTTTTAATAATTCCATATTAGTGGATTTAAATACGCTGACGCTGAAATTTTAAATACTGCTTTAGACTTTATTTTATATAAATTAAGTTTTTTAATCACAACCAACCAAACACTTTGAATTTTAACAGTCTTTTGAAATAACCCTCCAATCCGCATTGGGCCAGCGTGGAGGGGCATGGCCCATCCTCTTTAACCATCCATAAGGAAGGCCTGAGCCCCTGCAGTGGGGACGTAAAAAGGGCTGGTGATGATGAAATAAAAAGTGGTAAATAGTCTAGAAATAATCTAATTCCTTTGTAAAACCATAAAGTGAGTTAAAAGTAAACTTTATTAATCTGAGACATTTACAGTAAATTAAAAAAAAAGCTTTAAGAGTCTAACTCGAGCGTTATATATATTTAAGGGTACAAATTGGACAAAAGAGAGAAATTATTGGTTTTTCACCATTAAAATGATAATTAAGTTAATACGTTGATTATTTCAAATATCTAGTTCTTTTTTTCGTAATGCTTTCTATGTAGGGAAAATAGTTGTTCATCATAGGACGAGTGACCAAAAAATTATTATCTCGAGGCTTTACGTGTTTCGGAAGGCACGTTAAGCCGTTGTTATTATCTCTGTTGAGAGTTGGTCTTTTACACGTTCTTCTTGTTAATAAATAAATGTGTTGATCGTGTGATAGAAAAAAATGCATGACCCAAAAGTGCTCCCCATATAGCATTTTATTTAAGATAAAAAGAAAGATTGAATAAAATATTAGTACTAATATTTTTAGTATTTAGTCACGTATATAATAATGTTGAAAAATTTTCAAAGATATTTAAATAATTAATACGGGTGTACACATTAAACGAAAATAAATACCTTTTTTTTCTGGCAGTGTTTAATACATTCAGTCAAAAAAGTATCGGGAATGGATTATATGTTTATGGTTCCAAATTCAAATTTTTGTTCTTTTCTTTGTTGCTGTTAGATTGGCACAACTGTTTTTCATCTTGGCCCGGAGTTTTAGTTGCATCTGTTATTTA